AATAAGTAATAATATATCCATCTTCAATATTATTCAGAAAGTTCTATTTTTAAAAGATTGACATTTTATTGAAAATGCTATGGTTATTTTGTATAAATTACTAGTACTTGAATAAAAATATATTAATTGGATGACTCTACACTGGCATTATTATACCATTAAACTAACTTGTTCTTGTTGAATTTACTCTTTATACAGTAACATCTGTCTAGGACAGTGCCTATACGTTTTCGATCAATAATTGAATCTTGATACGTTTGTAAGTTCTTATTAAATTGTCAAATGTTGGTAATTGAATACCAGATGTACAGATAACTGTTGAACTTCGTTGATAGTTACTCCATTTTCGGCATAACAATGTGCGCTCTTTTGGTGTCGAATGTCACATCTAATCTAATCTACTGCCACGTTCTGTCGAGATATGAACCATGGTCCATTATATAGAAACGTATATTGAGTTGTATGACGCATTGATTTGTGAGTTGGTATGCCTGAACAAGCTGATGTGAGACGATCTACAATTTGTTTTTACTTACAATCAATAAAATTCCAAAACAAGACAATTAATACAAAAGAAATTATGAGAAAAGCAAAGTAAGTTACATCAACATTTAAACATTTACACACACTAAACAAAACAGCCATTACGAGAGTCTCAGTAAAGCAAATCATTGCAGACTTTAGCCATCCAGGTAGCTAGTCAGCAGGCTCCACTTCAAAATTAAATTAGTTTCACCTAAGATTTCTTTTTCAACATTTATTTTCATCTTTACATTTTTGATGCAATGTGTTAGAGAAGGGGGTAATTTTGTATAGCGACTCGTATTTTATATGCCGAACTATATATGTTTGACCAATTAATTAAAAACATCACGTGTTGTTTCTGTAAAATTGAAATCAGAGGTACTTCTTTGTACTTGTTCACATGCATTATCTGCCAGTCATTTTACCTTCTAGGATCTTGGAATTGCATTCAATATACTCACATGTGTTAAACAGTCTGTTTTGATTTTATTATATTTGTAAAATGTTCGTATGACATTAGGTTACCATTGTTGTTACACAGATGACCTATGCAGTTTACTCCATGAATTAACCGCTGTCAATGAAATAGTGAATTTCCATCTACAAATATATATTCATTATTCCACAGAATTTCCAATCGCACATCAACTGGGGGGGGTGATAGTTTAACTACTTCCAAAAATGCACAATATCAGAGTAAAAAAAACAACGGCAAGAATATTTAGATGAGTCAAAATTACATTTCAGTAGAAATTTAAACCCCCAAAATAGCATTTTTCTGATTAAAGCCCAAGAAGCACGGCATTTTTTTTATATGGTGTCATTCTCTATTCCGAATAAATCTAGTTATTTTCGAACATCCATCTGTTGCCATTTTGTCTTAATCTCGCTCCCCAGAATCAGGAGTTCTGTTTTATCAATGTTCACTTCTAAGCCTGAAAAAATGTAAAAACTTGCTAATAAAATTGGTAATAAGCTTGATTTCCTATACGGCTGGTGTCGTCTGCAAAATCTGAATAATTAGGTACAAGAGAATTTGGTAGGTTTATACTATTAATTTGATCATTAGCTCGAATGACATTAACCAATATTAACTGCGATGACGAAAAGCGCAGTAGACAATGGACAACCTCGTCTGGTACCTTTGGACAATTTAAACTAACCGGTAGAGTGAACCATTTAGAATCTAACTTTCAAACTGTGACCCATTTTTTAAACGATTCCCTAAAGTTGAACAAATCAAGGTTTTTCTGCAAAAAACGCCCATTCAAGAGAATCAAAAGCGTTCATAAAATTCACAAATAAAAGGGTCCAAGATTGGTTATTATGCTCACAGTAATTAATAATATCACTGATTAGTCTAATGTTATCAAAAATATTCCTCGGAATAAAAGCTGACTAATCTTCATGAATAAGGAATGGATCCAGGCACGTAACCATAATTTAGGGGGACCAGTGCATCCCCAATTTCAGCCCAAAATTGCGTGGTAGAATTCAGGTGATAACCCATCAACCCCAGGTGATGTTTTGGGAAGAGTAAATGGTGGTGGTCAAGTATCAAATTGTACCAACGCTTTTTGTATTTGGATAGTTTCTTAAAGTATTTGCATTTGCCCGCTGTCCATTTTCTGCCATTGACACGCAGATCGCCGCAAACCAACCGATGTGCTGAATAGCGCCACCTGTGTTGACACAATGATTTTCTGCAGACTACAGGCGAATGTTGCCTAGTCACGTGACAGATACAGCACCTGCGGGTAATGCCTGAAACAAGTCAGGAGATGGACTTTTCATGTCCCACAGAAAAACAATGTATCATGGGTATGTTTGTAGACTAGCCCATAGACATGACCTTGCTCCGTGAAAAAAAATAACGGTAAACGGTAAACAACGCACTGACTGAGAGACTATATCGCACATGTTTTGGACAATGTGATCAAAATGAGGATCTGACCCAATGCCCTTATAAATCCCGTCAAATCTCGTATAAGTTAGTCAATCACAGTTAGCCTTTTATATGGCGTACTCACTGGAGAAAATAATTAACAAACAATTACAATGTACAAGATGAACGTGAGTTTTATTTTGAAAAAACAATCATCTCATTCAAAGGTTGACCAGGGAAAATGCCTGGCCATCATCCATCTCCAGGACAAGCGACTGCATAAAGTTTACCGGTGTTCGGTCGAACCGGTAGAAACAAATCGCCACTACCGGAATAATCACGCAAAATAACGACCTAAACTGGAACCACTTAAGCCACAATAAAATCATAAAAACCATACATGCTTTTCGTTGAATTTAACAATGATAAACCTACCGAATTCGTGTTTTTCCCGAACGTTTTCATCGCTAAAATCGGTAGAATCCGCCATTTTATTTGAGTGTGTTCTGACCTGTGTCTGACCGGTGAAGTCACCAGGCGATCTATAGAATGGGGTCTATGATTGGTTGACTAAACCAGTCAGAGGGGTTCTTGCTGTAATCTCGTTATATATATGCGTTGGTTCAGATGAATGTGGCGATAAATAAGATAATATAAAATAAGATTACATAATAATAAGAAGAACAATTACAAAATAATAAAATAGTAAAAATAAAATTATATAAATTTGAATTAAATTAAATTCACGCAGTACAATACATAAGATTGGAAAACATTTTCTTTCAAATAGTTGGAAATTTCGAATAATTTTTCGCAAAATATGATTTAAAGGTTGACAAAAATAAACGATAAAATCGTGTATTCTGTGAAATGTGAAGACGCGGCATTTTAACCGACGACATATTCGTAATCACCACCCAAAGAACTCCAGTAATGAGCATTTCCATAAAGATTACAGATGTTATTATTTAAATTATTATTTCTATGATAAATTATTCAAATTAAATTATTGACCCCTCTTTTTTATTACATTTACTATTTGTATTATTAATCATTGTTCAACTACACTAGTCGGATACATTAAAATTACATGTATATTATCATTATATATATATATAAAACATTAGGTAGATCAAAATTGTGGGTTATGTTTGGCGGGTAGTTGTACTACAAAGATTGGGTTAGATGCAGAGAAGCGCTTCTATAATGTGAATAGGTTACTCGAAGGCATTCTGAAGCTTCGGTATGTAATGAAGACTAAGACGGTTTTTGAGAGACGTATGATCAATTGCAGAAACGCTCTAAATCCTGTTCGTATTGGTGACGGTGTAAATCATCGTAGTAATCGTTCGATTTATTGAAATATTTTTAATTCAATTGAATAGATTGGTGTATTTGTTTAAAAAACACAATGAGTTGATTCTTAATAGTTTTCAAAGACGAAATCTGGGCGCCATAGTTTTAATATACCAGCTAATTTGAATGATCCTGACTCACCTTGAATTGATTTTATGCGCATACACATCATGTTGTGATGAAGAGTGAATAGGGTCATGAAATAATCCTCAAATTTGTTTTTCACCGTGACAGTTTATATTTGTAGACAGATGTTACAGTTTACGCAGTTAGTGCTATATATAAGAAATATATAATACATTTATGTCACAGGATCGTGTGACAATGCTTAACGCATGCATTCCAGTAGTTCAGTGTAGTACTCAATTAATACGTATAACTGTGACAATGACAATATTCTGTAAATGTCACTAACATCAAATACAATATTATAGTAACACGCTATAACATTACTACTCAGATTCTATGAAAAGGTGCTCAGTAAAATAATTCGTGAAAAAAAAAACATACGGTACTTGACGTGTTTGTCTGGACAGCTCAATTAAATTTTAATTCATTTGATATTACGTATGTTATGTATAGTCTACCGTCATAGGTGTTGATAGAAGAGAATTGTAAAATTGTCTGCTATAAATAATATTTCAACAATTTAATAATTAAATGATTTATGTGATTTTACCAAATTTGAAACAAATCGAGGGAGTTGAACCATATTTGTATGAGTAAATCTAAAACTGTGTTGTGTCGATTGTGTCAGCCATATAATTGAACTTGGTTGATTATCACAATTCAGCAGGCGCAGATTTTTTATTCATTTCGAGCATTTATAAATTAATACGGTATTCACAATGGACCCACACAAACACACACATATGCCCATAATCCATCCCTAGTTTTGAGAATACCAAAAATGCTTCCACTGAATAGTGCACAGATGTTGACAGATCAAACAGCCACGTGCTACATGTGTCATCGATGCGTGCAGTTCAAAATAGCTCAACTCAACTAAGTTGTCTGTACTAACGTCGAAGAGACACTACACTGGTTTACATTATTGAGTACCAATATGCGGGATTGAAAAGCGTCAGTTGGTATAGAGAGCGAACGAATTGTGATTTTGGCTGACAGTTTTAAGAGCACGAGTAGTGGTATGAGCAGTCCTGACCTCTGTCATACGTACTGTCATACTGTATGTATATAGTAATAATCAGATATTGAATAGAAATATCCAGTCATGTTCGGATTTCTCTCTCACAGAAAGTTGAAGAATTCGTTTGTAGGGAATGTCTTGATGTCTGTCGGGCTCTCGGTGACGGTGACTTTTTTCTTGATGTCCTTCTACTGCACCTCGCCCAAGTCGACACGTGCAACAGTGCTGTACGATATACTGATGCGGTGCGAGACGATGGAGCACCCGCCAGAAACATGCGAAAACGCTAGGGCCGAGTGGTCAGGTATGTTTGCGTCAAAGACACTTATAGACGATGAAGTAACTCTAAAACGCGTTGTCGCTGATAGCGATGAAGAGCCGACAAAATATGAAAGTAGTCGTGGAGATATGCCAGAAAATGGCGCAGAGCCACAAACGTATAACGAGGTAAGCATGCGATAAACTGTGTTTCACAAAATGTTGTGTTTCTATAGATACAATTAGGTATGAGTTCTAAAATAAATCGTGTAAAAGCTCAGTACTCGCATACAGTACCTAGACATGTGTGACATATTTCATTAATATTAATAAAAACCTATCTAGTTTATATATATATTATGGCGGGTCTTATATGCGATGTAAATATGTATTTCGCCAATGAGATTTACATACCAATATTTCCAATAGATTGCTCAACTACATTGGCGTGTTGAGATTCGTTTTAGGTAAATAATTCTTGCATACAGACTCACAATCATTTATTATAATGTAGTGCTCGCTGACCGGAATGTGATTGGATTACATTACGCACAAACATGTACACGCATATGTTTATATGTTATACATATGTGACTTTGCATACTTGATCAAGGATAACAACGCGTTTATATTGGCATTTAAGTTGTTATCTGTTGTCAACTGCTACAAGTGGACTATACCAACACTTCGCGTGTACAGCCAGTCAGTCAATCAGTTCATACACAACACTACACGGTTTATTACATTAACACCGTGCCAGCGTGTTTTAATCATAGGACCTATATCGTATAGACGGGGGTTCATGTAATCCTTTGCAGAGGACTGGTAGACCAAATCAGAACATAAATCTGAATGGATTAGTTACAGCTGCGCTGAATTCTGCATATGTGGCACACAGAGTGAGGTTGATTTTTTTTTTTTAAAAAGACGAAAGCTTCGTGTCAAATAAAATAGTTACTCTGCAAAATGTGTATGATTTGATGAAAACATGAGCACGTCCAATACATATATCATCCCTACCTGTCAAATATCCAATTTATATTTGTTAGCGACATAGTTCTGATATCGTCGGATACCATTCTCATTTCGTATATGCATTTAACTTATTGCTATTTGCTACAGATACGACTGATATATATATATTAAATATTACATAAAATAATAAAGCCAGGAGAGTAATTTAATGATTAGTTTGCAATTAGGACATTCCTGTAAAATCACGAAAATATAGCTATGACAAGAAGTTCAGAGGTAAAGTGTTAATCATAAATACAGTAAATGTTTACCAAATATTTAATTATATACATGAACATCAGAATACAGATTGGACCGTGATCGTAACGCAGAATGTGAATTGTTAATGTAGACGAGAAATAGTTCAGCTGGCGTTGAAGTATTTTAACTTAATTTAACAGAAATGAATTCAAAATTGTTCAGTACTCATAACTAGTTCACCGCGTGAACTCTGTTATAATCCGTCGCCTGAGAAATAAGTATCCGTTGATGTCAGTATCCTAAGTATAATACCTTCTGACGTAAAATTGTATTGTGGTTGAATCGTACACCATCATTGTTATTATGTATTTGGATTGTCAGTGGATTATATACCACAGATGTCAGTAATCAAATATAGATAATACGTAATATGAACTATAACCCTGGAAGCTGACAAAAACATTGCATTATATTTTCTCAGCTGATCCTAGCTACTTATCTATTTTTGTTGTTGTTCATTTTATTCCCTCCAAATCACATTCACAATTTCCATTTCGTTTTATTTATAAAGCCTTCACCACAGCTGTGATATGGTTATGCCTCGTCACCAGTAGAATGTGATTGTTCGTGATATATATTGTTTTCATCACCGAACACTCTGGATAACCACATAAATTCTTTCCACCCTCTAATATGGATTTCAAAAATACTGTGATGTTATATTTTTCAGATATGATTTTAAACAAATGCGAATATTACAGAATTCTAAACAACGTTTAGAAAATGTTAAAGAAAGATTATATCAACACCAAGAAAGATTATATCAATGATATTATGTTTGAAAGATAAAATTCAACAAACGTTTGTTTTTAAAAAAATAATGGTTTACCACGATACAAGTACATTGTATCATGGCACAAAAGCATCTATTTTGTTACTGATAAAACTGATGCAAATAAGACAACTAGGTTCGGTGGCCATGTATTTCAACAAAGCACCGTATTAAATTGAAAACCAATTCTGCTTTTGTGATAGACAATTAATTTCTCATTTGAGAATTTGTCCAGAAACTTATTATAGTGATGCACTTGTCATCAGCAATCCTACCATCAATAAATTACCTTTCTATGATATGTCAACCTAACCTTGAAATCAAAGAATCAAGTCATATATCGATGACTTTAATTTGACTCTAAGGTTAAACTTTCTATTAGACTGTATGACAAATAATTATTAAATCTGTGCAATTTGCATAGATTATATCGCATATATTAATAGCGATAATACAGAGTCGGTTACATATTAATATTTCAGTTAAAATATGTTTTAGCCAAATTTTTAATATATATGAAATTAACAAAGATTAATCCGTCATGGACTATAAACATTGTGCACTTTTGAGTGGAATATGAAATTGGGCACAATCGTCTTACCTAGGTAGGTGATAAATATCTGCTATAGTATTCATTGAGTAACGTCCTCTATGCAATATTATTCTAATTATGATAAAAGCATAACATTTGGTACATATGTAGGATTTGAATGTTCATCAAAATAAAAAATTAACGCCCACTGAAGGTTAAACTACAGTTTATTGTAGATAATAATTGTCGCGATTCATGATTTTGATGAACATATATGTGGGTACTCACTTACTGTCATGGTCGTATATATCATAATACACTTTAACCATTTTTTTAAGGGAGACATTGTCTAGATTAAATGTTTGTTAGTAGATATTAGACAATTTATGTAAATTGTAATATTCATTTATTCTACATTGGCCAAAAAACCAATTACCTTTTTAATTTTTCAATAAGTGTTTGCGGAACAACATCTTCCAATGTTATGTAGAATTTGCATTTAAACAGTTCTTTGTTTAAAGAAGTCCAATAAAAATCTCAGATTTCTAACAAATCCGCTGGAACAAGATTACAGAAAGGTTTAGGATAATTGAAACTGCCAAAAAATCTAAAAGAATACTGTCGTTCCTGGTAACTGGAAATCATTTCTTTATATAGCTGAAAACATAACTGAACATGTATTCCCCTTCTGGCTATATACAAGGGGCGTTCAATTAATGTTCAAGTAATGTCCCTGACCCATTTCCCATAGCAGAAAATTAATGAAACTTGGCACAGTTATTAGTCTTTCTCTACATAGGAACCACCCAGAGTTATGCATTTCTCGCATCGTTTGATACAGCTCTGGACACTGTTTTTGTAGAACACCCCAGGTTGGTCCTCCAACCATGTCACAACTTCTGAAATCAAGACTACATCATCTGAGAAGCGCTTTCCTTTCAAAAACAACTTCATGGCTGGGAAGAGATGAAAGTCAGAGGGTGCAAATTCTGGAGAATGGGGGGGGGGTGGAGAATTTCATAGCCATACGTCTGTGCTTCTGAT